TTTTAAAAACACAGTAAAATTCACCACCTTCTTTTTTTAAGAACGTCAATTTATTCAAGCAAACAAAACAATACATTAAAAAAGGTCCTCCCATTTGCTAGAAGGCCCAAAGTTCAAAAATAAAAAGTATAAGAAAAGCATAAAAACAATCTAACATGCAAACATGAAAAGCCATATACAAAATGTCATGGAGTAGACAATAGGCCCAACACGAGGTTAGCCTCTCGAAGACAAGCGATAGATAAAGTCTCGTGCTACACGAGTGATCACACCATCAAGGAAGAGATAGCCAAGAGTCCTAGTAAAAAGTAGGAACACACTAATAGGTAAAACTTAAAGAACATGAGGCAATAGAAGATACCCCTACGGCACACTGGAAAACTCTGATGACACGATATTTATAACCCACGAGTTATTGAAAAGAAATTGGTTTGTTGAGAACTTAGGTTACATTTGATAGGAAACATTGAAAATAAAGGATTGAGATTGAGATTACAATTAAAAAAATCTATTAAAAGAGTATTTAGTATAAGAGATTACTTGTTATATAGGATTAGCCAAACCTATGTATGTGGGATTGGAGAATACTATGGGAGGAAGTGTATTCTCCAATCCCACCTCTATGGGTTTGTCTAATCCTATATAACAAGAAATTACTCATGCTAAATGCTATTTTAATAATTTTTTTCAATTACAATCACAATCTCTCATTTTCAATGCTTCGTACCAAACAGGATCTAAAAGTCAGCATATAAGCCATACGGAAGGCTTGTCGAGAATTCTGTTGAAGTAGTGTTGAAGGAAGAAGATGACAAAGAAAAACAAAGCCATTAAAATAGTAGCTATATAGTACTAAAAATTAAGAAAGTGAAAGTAAGCTTGAATAAAGTAAACTTGAGTAGCCTAAGCATGTGAGCATCTGGCATAGCACTGCCCATTCCATGGTAGCCAAAGGCTTAAGACTTCATTCTTCCACAGTGCAAGCCTTTTTGGTCGCTAGCTCCCAGAACCACAAAGGCAACGAAGTGTCTAAATGTAACGGTACCCATCCATTATCCTCGGCATTGAATTGTGCATGATCCCGAAAATAACTACCCTATCCATATTTGGCTTGAGTTTTAGAGTTGGATAAATTTCCACTATGGCGCCTACTGCGATCAAAGCACTAATTTTGCATAGGATTAAAGTCGAGTTTTAGCACCTTAGGATGAAGCGGTAATTCCTAATGCTTCCTCTTTATAGCAAGTCTAACACTAGCTATTTAGCTTTATGTAATCGGACGCCAACCTCAAGTTACTCCATCAATTATAGTTTGTGGAATAGCTAACGTATGGCATAATGGGAAGACACGTCAACCATTTTGAATAGTTTATGCCATGGGAAACCTTTAAATAACTTCTTAAATCATTCTGATTAGCTTTGGACTTCTCTTCAACTTAATGAACTATTTTAGCTCACTAGCTGGGATGATCAGTGATGCCAATAGCAAATCTTTTATTCCTTGCTTGTGTTAGTGTAAAGTAACAGACATGAGACAGCACCAGTTGGTCGAGCAGCCTGCTGGACTACTTGGGTCAGCGCGCTTCGCTGGACTCACGAAGAGTCCACTTGAACCTTTCCATGAGATAATTTCCCGCCGGCCCTCTTTTTTTTGAGGTCGAGACCAAGGAGGGGAAGTGACTTCTTATCTTGAGTAGTGGGGAAAAAGCTTACATTTGTTGAATTAGGGGCCTCTTGAACAGCCATTCACTTTCACTGGCTTATCCGCCCTTCTAACGGAAACGGCCGAAATTCCATGGTTGTTATTACTCCTTCGTGATACTAATCAGGTGCTTCAAACTCCACCCAACATTCGATGTGACAATATTAGTTCGACTTATCTTGCTTCCCACTGAGCGAGCTCCATCATGATGAACAAAGACCCATCCTTTTCAGTGAAGTCCCGATTTCACTAATCAATTCAAGATTCTAGACGATCTATTTAAAAAGCCCAATAATTTCATTTCCATTTTTCTCAAAACCGTGAATTTGATTCCCACGACTACTTTAAGCTCATAGGATTGAGCTGAGCCCAAAACTTGACTCCAAAATCACGACACATTCTATATCCAAATTTTGAATGACAAATAAGGGCTAATCTAGGCCCAGTAGCAGATAGAAGGAAGCCCACTAACTCAATGCCTTAGCATAGTGACTCCAAAACAAATTTTGAATGACAAATATGGGCTAATCTAGGCCCAGTAGCAGATAGAACGAAGCCCACTAACTCAATGCCTTCGCATAGTGATTAGTGTCAATGAAAGTTGCGGTTCCTTGCTATTAGCAGTTTGAAAGGATGAAAGATGAGAAAACATGATATTACTCGACAATGAAACCTTAAAACAAAGGTCATCTTCTTAGATATGATTCATTGAAAGAAACGAAAGAGCCAACTGAATTACCAATATAATCAACAACCGCTTCTGAATAATAGCCCAATGATAACCGACTCACTTGAAACTATACGCGCAGATAATTGAAATGAATATGCGAAATTGAAAGATATAGTTGCCATTCAGAAACAATTAGCATAAACCCTTAGAGAATCCATGATCCTTACCCTAATATGAATTCTTTATCACAAACACTACTAAAATAGATAACAAAATGATTGAGATTTTGTTGAGCAATAGTAATTTGACCTCCAAGATGCTAGTAATAATAGAATCAGTTTTAGTGCTCATCAGATTTAGATTGTTTATATTTGATTTGAATAGTTCAGATTTAAAATCTCTAATTAATTATTTTTTTGAATAAATGATAGTTAAGATTATTATCTTTATTTTAGATTCTATACATATTAAAATAATTATTTTGAATAAATAAAAATAAAAAAATTAAATCCAAACTACCCAAATAAGAGATAAACGTTTCAAATTTGATGAGTTTAGAATGCTTATCAAAATGATGAGCACCGAAATTGATTCTAGTAATAATCTAATAAAAGTTTAAGCTTTTAGGCACGAATCAGATGAGAATCCCATATTTAAGCAAACAAATAATGATTTTGACAAAAATCAAGATGTTCCTTACTGTAGTCTAGAAGCATCATCTTATAATGAAAATATTTCCTCATAGCTGCAATGGGAAATGGATCAGGGGATTCTTAAGAAAATTGGGATCTTGCTTGGCTATAAAAGCTAAAATCTGGGCCATGATCTCTGGTTTGCAGATGGCGTACATGGCTGGGATCAAGCACCTGATTGTGGAATGCGACTCCCTAGCTGCTGTTAATATTCTAACTAGTATAGTTGATGATTTTAATTGTAATTCTAGCTTATTGAAATTTGTAAAGGTTGAGCTAGATAGATTTGTGAATGTTAGGATACAACATGTTTATAGGGAAGGCAATACTATTGCGGATTGCCTTGCAAATTACAGTTTTGAGATAGATATAGAGGAGATGATTTTTGAAAGTCCTCCCCAGGTTGTAAGAAGGCTGTTATATGCTGACTGGGTGGGAGTTGCTATCCCCCGTTCAGTGATGATTCAATAATATTGGGCCTTTGAGCCCCGTACCTTTCACCAAAAAAAAAATTTCCTCATAACAAAATAAGAAAAAGAAATCTACAAAACCAACCAAACAAGGAAGAAACCAAACAACTAAATATTGAAGATGAAAGAAAAAAATAACCTAAAAGAAAAAACCATGAAAGATGAAAGGATGATAGACGAATTAAGGTCAACAACCATCTTTAAAGGCCTGTTTGGCAAAATACCCAAACCATGGTTTTAGAAATTTGCCAAACAAGGGGACAAATGGACAAACCACTGTTTTGCGACAATTCCATGGTTTTGGGCTTAAAACCATGATTTTCAGAAGAAGTGAATTTATTCTGCTTCTGGCTCAAATTGGAGAGTATGATTGTGTCTGTCAAAGTATATCCCACCGGTAATATGACTTTAATACCCCTCAATTAGTTTTCTATAAGCATATTTAATCTTATATTTTATAAATATATATACACATATTAATTATTTATTAATTACATTATCTTATATATTATTAATTACGGTGGTAAAAAATATATTATTAATAATTTTATTCCTTCAAATTAAAATATATTATAAAATTTATCTTTTATATAATTATCATATTAACTTATGTTCTTTTTAGTAATTTACACATATAAAAAGTGTTTCTGATAACAACTATCCAAATACTCACTTTATCAGAATCACTTTTTCACAAAATCTATTTTCTCAAAAATCTGTTCTCCAGAAACTATTCTCCAAACCATGATTTGGTTTCATCTAAACACCCCATAAGAAGGTCAAACTCCTTTCAATAAAAAGAACACTCTCAAATTCATTCCATTGATTTGAGAAATGAAATTGATTACATCATCATAGACAATTTGCCCACCAAATTTAAGGGTCAAAAGACATTCATTTAACATATTGATAATTCATAATCTACCACAAGGTTTAAGGTTTGTCGTGTTTGGGATAATCCTTAAGTCCTATTTACACAATATTAAATTTTGATGCATGGGGAATGAGAATAAGATTGAGAATGAGGCTTTAAAAGTATGTTTGGTATGGATTCATATTGAATGTTTGCATTAATTTTATTTTTATAATTAGTCATAAATTATGAAAAGATTATAATACCTTTATGATAAAAAGATTGCACCCCTAGTCTTCTTTCTCTCTCACCTCCCCCTCTCCCTCTCCTATTGATCTGTATTGCATTCTTCTTCTATCCAAACCTTGCCTCCCTTTCTCCTTCTTGCTAAATTTTTAAAGTAATTGATTAAAATGATATTTTGGTGTTTTATACGAGTGAAACATAATTTTAAGAATTTATTGGCATTACATTTTTTTTGTAGAGTACTTATTTATAATTTTTGGAATCTTTTTAATTAATTAATAACCAAACTAACAAATATTTAATCATTTTATAAAGTACATTTATAATTTATAACAATTTTTAAGAACTACGAGAGCGGTTCTTACAACCGAGAGCCTTCTTTCGAGAGGGCCTTCCTCAAGTTCTCACTGCAGAAGCGCAAGTGTCAATACCCAAATCTCTGGTTTCTCTCGTCTTCTATGCTGAGATGGATATCGAGCAAAAGCAAGCGGATTTCATCGATCACTTCGTGAAGCAAGCATCTGCTTCCAAGGGTTCGGCCCTTGGTTCTCTGGTTGTTGAAGCCACTTCTCACCCTTCTCTCTTCGCTTTCTCTGAGATTCTTGCCGTGCCCAATGTTGTAGAGGTTCGTACGTCTCAGTGATCTGGAATTTCTTCTTTTCACTTTTTCCCAAAAAATTCCGCTCGAAGGGTTGTAGTTCGAGGGAAATAGAATTAATTCTTTACCTCTAACTTATCTGGTTTTCATATTTTATGCCACATGCGATGATTCTTTCTTGCAGTCTCGTGGTCTTTGGTCACTTTCTTTAAAGTTACTTGAATTTTTTTAGGCTTCCGTTTGGTTTCTTTCTAGTTTATGCTGAAATCTTGTAACATTGGCATCACCTGAGTTTTAAACCTTTTGCCTCATGAATTTTTTCAACATGTTGGTTGTTAAACAGTAAGATAGTACCACTTCGAGAGGCTTCGTCCTGTCAAGGCATTTCTCCTAAAATTTTAGGGACATAGGAATATAACCATGTTGATGACTCGATAAGATTTGTGCTGCTGTTTCTTTCGAAATTCAAGAGCTAGGGATAGAATGTGTTGAAAACAGAAGTTTCAATTTTGGCTCCTCTAAATATGATTTTGTTAATTTCTTTTTATATATTTCATGGGGACTAGTGGGCTTCCAAATAAAGCGCTTTTTATATATTTCACGGTGGGCAACCAGTTCTTTCACTTAGGTGTACTTGTGAATCCCCATGCTTTTATTTATAAGGTAATAGTTAGTACAACTTTTAAAGCAGCACTTCTTTTACTTATTAGTTAGTACTTTTTTGTATGATTCATTCTTAATTAATTCCTATGGTTTTTCCATTCACAAATCATGCAGCTTGAAGGAACTGAACATTCTGTCTACCTTGATGTGCTACGATTGTTTGCATATGGTACATGGAGTGACTACAAGAGTAAGCCTAAAAATTCATGTTTCTGTTTCTTTCCTCCGTGTAATTATTTTTGTTACAGATTATTGTTACTTTATGTATATTATTTGTTAACTATATAATGGTGATGACTTCAACAATAATGTTCTATTCTTGCTGCAATTTAAGAAGTGTTTAGGGTTTAAAGCTCCATTATCAGAGGATTGGGCATTGGTGCTTCCTAGAAGAAAATGTTACAATATTGTTCCGACTTATATGTTCAGCTGCTTTTAGGTGTTGAAAGATTACATGGATGCAGTTAGTACTGAGAATAGTGTCCATGAATTAATGATGATTGAGATTCTTCACAAAATCCTACTGCTATTGTTCTGGTTGATGTGGAGCTGAATCAAATTGAAATCATATAGTGAAACTGAGAGGAAAAGAAGGTTTGGATGGATGGAAAGAGAGCTGGCAATGATTGACAATGCCAAACATTTAACCTTAGTTTTAAAAGAATAGTATCAAATGGCATTTTCAAAAGTTCTGGAACATGCTGATGAGGTAAAATTTATAAATTCCTATATTTGCCATATCAAATCTCTTGCTGAGTTGTCAAGTGCAGCAGAAGTGACTGTTTCTTTTGATTACCTGTGTTAAGCTGTTAGGATTTGAACCTTGCGATGAGTGGTTGTATTTAGAAAGTAAATGTTTGCATTTATCCCCCAAAAAAAAAAAAAGTAAATGTTTTCATGGGAAAGTTGCATTTCTTGTTTGAGATTCTTAAAAATTGGTGATGAGTGTTGGGCATTGAGTAATATGGGATGCTGATAGGGTGAGCAATTGAGGACTCAGCTTCTAAAATTGTTTTTGATTATTGACCATCAAGGACAATATACGTAGAGGTTGCTACGGGTTACTTTTGCTGTAGAGTATCTATCAGAAGATTTAAATCTAATTAAAAATTGATTCTGATCTGTCTAATTAAAACTGAAAAGCATGAAAAACAAAAAATAAAATCAGAGGCTAAATAAAGATAGAAAATAAGAAGGAAAATAGAAACTAATTTGATTTTGTTTATGTTGGGCTGCCACTTGTGAGCTTTTCCAACAGATTCTATCTTTACTATTGGGGAGGTTATATTAGGCTGAGAATTGAAATGTGTGTCTGTGTGAGTGGCTTTTTGTTAGCATTTTTCTGATAGATATAATCTCACAATGCTCACTTTTGAGGGAAATACTTATGATCCTTATTATTCAATTCTTGAAGTTGTCTGAGGAAATAACTAATATATTGAAGTAAATTGATGGTGATCAAAAGAATTGACCTAGTGAAGCATCTTTATGGCCTTTATGCCTTAATATGGGTTCGCTTTTCTTATCAAATATTCACATGGCCATTTCTATAATTTGCTCTTGCCTATTATATCCTTATATTCATTTGTCATTAGGGTCATCTGATAGCAGCTCCTCTTATTGTGCAATATTCTTGTATAATATGTTGTTATTTGGCGTTGAATGTGACAACAATCTCCATTTTGAAAGGGTATCTTCACATTATGGATCATGTGACTATGCTCTTCTCCATTTTTCTGTTGGCAAATTATTTGAATAGGAAATGGAAAATGCCTATTTCTAGTTTTCTCCTTTTGGAGAATAGAATAATTGTAGGGGCAAAGGTATTATTGGTCATCTTTAAGGGGTTGTGCAAGAGCAATACACTGTTTATGGAATATCATAGTGGAGCAATACACTGTTTGTAGGTAATGCTGGTCGTCTTCCGCAATTGATACCTGATCAGATCCTCAAGCTAAAGCAACTCACAGTTCTTACACTAGCCGAGACAAACAAGGTAAGATGGTGCCCTCTAAACCTTTGATAGATTTGGAAAGATCAAGTAAACATGTGGATTTCTGGACTTGCTGTTTTTGGCTTAATAAGTGATAATATTATTAATTAATTTTTATTTTTATTAATAAAATAATAAGGTTTACTAAACATAAAGATATTGCAAATGAGGATGTAATATATCCTCCTAAAAGAAGTGAAGATCATTGGAAGGGAAATGCAAGTCTCAAACACTTGGAAGTCAAGAATACAGCAAAGCTGCAGTGATATTCCTTTTAAAACATAATAAGGAAATCACCCAGATAGACCATAACCATTATACTGTCTTGCAATTACTGGAGATGCTATGGAACACCCTCAAAATTGCTCGCGGTTGTTTCCAATTAACATCATAGTATTGTAAAAACAGCAAATTACCACAGCATTTTGCTTTTCTTCCCGAAACTAGTGAAAGCTGTCTTGAGATATTGTTCCAAGGATGGAGGACACCCTCAGTGATCCCTGGAAATGTCAAGCAACTTATTCTACTTAATGGGTAAAACATTGTCTTTGTTCTATGAACCTACACCGTGTCATTATTGTTGATTCTATTGAGTACGAAGCTTCAATCTAATGACTTTATTTTAGCAAGAGCCTTAGAATCTGTTGTATCTTAATTCATGTGTTCTAGTGGTTAACTGAAAGCCCCACTTCTCTTTTCTTGATCATTTAAATTGGATTATCTCACTGTTAGACTATTGACCAGCAGAGCTAGAGTTACATGCCTTGTAGTACTTATGGAAGCTTATTGTCTCAACTATCTCCCTCTGGATGTTATTTAAATTCTGGGCAGGATTCTATTATCATTGTTGTTTTCTTTCTTCCATCTGCTCATGTGGAAAATAACCTCTTTGAGAAACAGCCTAAAAGTATTCAGTTTTGGTTTTGGTGTTGGTGCTTCTCTTATAACATGTAATCATTCATTAGTCATCACATATTTACTTATTCAGTTTTCTTCCAGGTGCTGCCTTATGACCAACTAATGCAGGAATTAGATGTGACAAATGTACGTGAACTTGAAGATTTTCTAATTAACGAGTGCATGTATGCGGTAGGCATCATTTCCTCGGATATTGCATTTCTGCTCAAATATGCGTAATATATTTGTTTCTCTTTTCTCTCTATTCTCTCTCCCCCCCCCCCCCTCTCTCCTTTCTCCTTTCTTTCTACCTTCCTTTTGTCGCTAGCAATGCTTTATACCTAACAACTACGGCTTTATACTATTACTTCCCTTCCTGGTGGTAGATTCATTAATGATGATGTTCCATTCTTCATCAATGCTTCGTACTCTTCCTGCATAGCTTTCTTCCAGGGGGCAGTTTTGAGAGCTTCAGTGACAGTAGTGGGTTCTGTTCTGCAATGAGAGCTGGAATTTTGCTTTTGCCTTTGAAGATCCCTGACTTTGCCTTGGTTGTCATGTGGTGGTTGCTGTTAGGTTCCTGTATGGTACCACAATTTGCATTCTCTAATGATTCTGAGCTCTGCTGTCAGATTGTTGAACAACACCTGAACTAGTTCTTCCTTTTAGATGTGGTTCATTACCTGAGCTTGAGCTTGAGGAGACTTCTGTTGAGTTGTAGCTTCTGAACTGTTGGAAGCAGACAGTTGAAGCTGCTAAACCTGAAATGTCAGTGCCAATGGAAAGAGGATAGTGGACATTCATTTTCTGTATGTGCATCTGATTTCGTTCAAGGGGTTAAATCCATGTGAATCATGTGTAGGTGCCTACAAAGTGAATGTAGTTTGAAAACTTTTCCCTAGATTTAGTAGGCACTGACCACCATATTTACAAGCTAAAGTGGTTTGGCGTATTCTGCATTAGAAGGGGTTTTGTTGGATTTACCCTGATAGCATGCTTTGCAAACATCTAATTTATTATTGAAGATGTTAGAAGCACAAGGATGATCTAGTACCAAACCTGAAACAAAGTAAGCCCGTTATATATTATTTTCTGGGCATTTATTACAAATTTTATCATTAGTACAAGCAACTAAAACTGACTAAGGACTAGACTTGGCATACTGAAATCCTTCAATGGCTGATAGTAGAATTCAACTACAGCATTATTGCCAAAACTTAATTTTTAAATACTTTTAAGATTCTTGGTTAAGCAAGGGGCATGGAGTATATTATAAAGATTAAGAGTAATACAATGGTTGGTGCAAATGAATGAATGCTCAATGTTCTTAACAAGCAAACCTGATTCATCTCCTATATACACTTGCTTTGCTCCACTATTTGGCACTTGACCCCTTCAGATTCGTGGAATCATCAGTGATATGGCTTGTTGCTCCAGAATCAAAAGACCCTGTACAGAAGCCATTGTTTTAAACTTGGCTAACAGTGCAGTAGGACATTTTTTAGACTGCTTTGAGGTGGATGCAGCAGTATTATGGATGATTAAGATTGCTTGGAAGTATTCATCACAATGCCAGCTATCTCTGCATTGTCAGTGCCACAGCGTTGACAGTTTATGTTGCTGCCTTTCATTAACAGAAATATTTTTAGGCTATCATTGCTTCTGCCACCCCTTCAAGGGTTGAGTCTTGCTCTTCTAGGTTGTGCTCTTGCATTGGGGGCTGTATCTGCACGATCCAAGGATATGTGATAAATGGGTTGTAGTCTTTTGAAAGACCCTTGAAAATGTTTTCTGTGCATTCTTGAGCAACCAATTCTGCCAATGCGTCAACGCTAGATTTCAAGAGAGAATCATTCATCAGCATGTTATCTTTGGTGCCTTTCAGTGGTGTTTTCAATTGCCCGATTTTCACCTTAGTCAATGAGGTGAAAATGATTCTGTCCCATTTCTAGGCAGAAAGTTCTTGCATTCCATGATCCCTCATCAGCATCAATTCTGTCATTGATGATGGCATCCCGGACATCAAATAATTAGTTTTGATGAATCCACGCAAGATACTTTGGGTTCTGCTTTCCTTCTAGATGTTTGTTGACATTTTCATATGGAAGTGCTAACAAGGAGTCGACTTTTTATTTTACTTTTATGATGATAGGTTTATTAATCTTCAATTTTCTTCAATAATACGGTGTTATAGATTACTTGCTGATTGTAGGAGATTAATATGATTCTCATTGTCCCTTTATGATGCTGTTTTAATCTGCTTATGTTTGGCAGTCATCTTTCTGGAGTTCTTGCCTTATTTTATTTAGCACTCTTCTGGTGATGTGGAAAAATCATTGAATGAATTGTTAATTTGGAAACAATTATTAGCATAAATAACGGGCTAATTTCAATCTTTATTGCTTTTATCAGGGCATAGTCAGAGGAAAGCTGGATCAACTGCGAAGATGTTTTGAGGTCCCATCTCATGATCTCTTTCATAATTTGTCGGGCTTCTTTTCCACTTCTGCTGTTCTGTTTTGTTGTGTCCTCTATCAGAATATTTGCTGATTTCTGGGGTTGAACTCTAGGTCCAATTTGCAGCAGGGAGGGACTTGAGACCGGGTCAGCTGGGAAATATGATACAAACACTCTCTAATTGGTAATGTTAACTTTTTTTTGTAGGAAAGAAAGCTTGTTGTAACCATATTTCGACTTGGTAATCAATTACATGCATTTGGAGACATTATCAGATGGCCTGCTTGATGATAAATATGACAGGACTTCACAACTGTAATGTGATAGGGATCATGTAATTCCTTGCTACATAGAGTTAGTTCAAATCAAAGCTTTAATTTGCATTTTTGGGTTAGTTCAAATCAAAGCTTCAAGTGTCACTCTGCTGAGGTTTTATTTAAAAATACTCCTTCGGTCCTTAATTATTAAGTTGCTTTTAGTTCTAAATATAAGACTTAGTTTTTATATTTATCTCTTTTCTAAATTACCCTTATTGATTCTCCCTCAACTATAATCAAGTCGGAGAGGAATGTAGGATATTAAGGAAGATGATTATAGTGTTTTAGGAAAAATAAGTCATATTTTTTTATAATTAACTAACTTACCTAGTTTTTTTAATCTAATCAGATTAGTTAAATAGGTCTTACATTAAAAACCAGAGGAATACTATTTTCCTTGAAGTTTAGTCTGTATAGAATTCAAGCTCACTTATAGTTGGTTTGAACCTTCAGTTATCAAGCTTGGAAATTTTTTATTTCGGTTTTCTTAGTAAACTGGATTCAACTTTTGGTACCGTGTTTGTCTGCTTCTTCTAGCTTCTCTAAATGATAATTATCTCCATTATTCTTTTTCGTATTTTTCTGATGTCAATGCCATGTGTAGAGTTCCTTCCTTAAAATATTAAGGGTTGGCTTCGCATCTGAGATCTTAATATTGATTGGAAATATAGGTTGTCTACATCAGATAATATGCTTGCTTCCATTCAAGAAAAGATAAAATGGGCTGATACTATGAGCGAGTTGGACAAGAAGCACAAGAAAGATGTGGAAGAAAAGGCAGAAGAAGTGAAGAAATCACTTTTCAAGGTCGGTTGAATTTAATATCATGCCTATCTCATTCATAATTGGTGATTTTCTTTACTCACATGGGTAAGAGGATGGCCCATCAGAAACACGCATGTAATTTGAATCGTGGTTGGCAATTTCCCGTTTATTAGGTGCTGTGTGTTGGGATTGATCTTTTCATCATCTGCTTCTTTACCTTCAAGCTAGGCAGGACAGTTTTGAATAAATGGCTTGTACTGACACTTGTAAAAGATTTTTAATTTATTCTGTAGTTTATGTATTTGTGTTCTGGAATTGGTTTAGCACAAGTTTGTCTTGAGTTTTTTATGGCAGTGCTTATGTTGCCCCCCAGCACATGCACATGCTCATATACATGCTCTCTGGTAGAGGAAGATGAAAGAGATGAATCACTTCGTACTTGCAAATTTGGGTTTACATTTAAGTTTTTTGTAGTATTTTTTCATGACGCCAAGACACTAATGTTGAATGGGAGATGTACAATTTCAACCTTCACTATTCATACATAATTGTGCGAGTAATCCATTTATATAAAGCCTTCCCGTAGGATCTCTGCTTTTATTAGCTCAAACATACCAAAAATGTTTGTCAAACAATTATCAGCTGCCAATCCATTAATCTTTGCTTGCATTATATAAATATATATTATATAAGCTTCTGTTCTGCATTATAGCTTCTCTTTCTTATCTGTCACAAAATTTGGATGTCCATGGCTTACAATGTTTTGGTTTTAATTCTAATACTAGAATGTCATTCTCCAGTTCAAGAATATCACATAAGAATAACCCTACAGAATCAAATTCATCTAATGGGTAAGGTTTACAGAATCAAGTTCAGTTTTTTACAGAATCAAATTCTCTTGTTTGGCTTTGGATAGAGCTCAATGACATTGTGCGATCCATATAGCCAACCCCACCTAGTGGGATGAGGCTTTGTTGTTGTATTGGTTCTGATAAGTTGATCTCTCATATTTTTGTTATTTTGTTCCTAACTGCATCTGAAGAGTTAGTGTAGATCTGATGGGGTCATTCCAAATTTTGGCAAAAGCAAATTAACTTAAGGCTTGGTTTGGCTACGTTTTCTTAACTTCTTATAGTATGTATATCTAATTGGGATCACCGGGAGAGCTTGGTCTCTGAAAGGGAGTATGAGGCTATACCATACACCTTCATCAAGGAGAGAAACGAACATATAGGAGGAAAAAATTGTATATAAATATAAAAACTGGATATGTAATGGCCTTGTCCATGTAAGAGTTTTCTTGCCCCATTTTATTTTAAATATTATCATAAAGCTGCTCAGGGAAATTTTTGAATTATTGAAACCAGCTTTGTGCTTCATTATGTGGTTTGGATGTCAAACGCACTATGATCACCATGGTAATTAAGCTAGTTTGAGCCATGCATAGATTCTCTAAAGTCTTCAGGTTAAAATCTATTCTATGCAATACCTTGGAGGCAGCTGCAGTATTTCTTTAGGATGGTACAGAAGTATGAGACTTGTTTGCTTAGATAACTGCCTTTTTTTTCTTTACTGTTTGATCTCATATTATTAGATTTAGTCTTAATACAAATGCTGGGATATATTGGTCGATGTGTCTTACTTACTTTGTGGCAGAAGTTGCACACTGTCAGCAGGCCGACATTGACTTTCGAGGGCATGAGGAGATCAACTCTGAATCTGGTGGAGTGATGGACTATGAGGAAGATCGAAGCCGACCTAAAAGGTAATTTGAGAGAGCTTTAAGTATTTGACTAGATTGTCTTGGATAAAATTTTGGTTGTGTGCATCCTGGTTTATCCGGATGTCACCTACTGGCAATGATACCCAGAGAATGAAAAAAAAAAAAAAGTGGTTAGGTTTTGATTCCTGGTTGGTTCTCAATAATTTAGTTTATAATTTTCTTTTTGGCTCAATTATTTTGGCGTTTGAATACTTAATTCAATATACTGAGTAGGATTTCCGCCAACCCAATTTTACCTTTTTCTCTTGGGTTCTTGATTTGAAACAATTATGGGACCGTGTCTTGTTAACGGAAAGGAATTATAACAAGCAATATGTAGTAGAGGAAATTGGGCTAAAAGTGCATTGTGTTGGTACGGCATTAGTTTACTCACAAGACTGATGACATTGGAATGAGTGCAGGAGGCGGCATCCACTATCTTGAAGAGAGTAGTAGATAAAGGAGCTCATTGGATGGGTGTGTTAGAAGCTTGCCTGACTTTTAATTCATGGCATGCATCCACTGAGATAATCCTCTGCTTTTGGAGACAAAGGTTATTGCCTCTCTGATGGAGCTCTTATCTGTTCCACCACAAAATCATTATGAGCTTAGGAGAAAGAAAAACAAAAGGGGAAAAAAAACAAAAAAAAAGAAACTTGTTATTGGCTTAGGGTTGTATTTCAGAATTGTTAGCACTTCTTGAACCGGTTTATTCCCTTGAAGTTCGTTGTCGGCTTCGACCGGCTGAGTTGGTGGTGCAGATAAATTTTTCTGGAGCTAGATTTCTTTAACGTGTTTCATATATAATGCTTCTAATTGATTTGCTACACACTGCGTTAAATACATCTCAGAGATATTTTCCGTGTAGATTTTCTTTGGAAGACAAAGTAGGCATATGCTGTGGGATGCTATATCCAATTGAGAATGGTGATTCTCAATTCTTTTCTAGTGAGATCTAATATTGTGGATGGAGAAAATTATAATGAGGTACTTTAGTTAGATTCAAAAATCCTTAAATAGTTTCCAATACCAAACTAGACTTGTTTAACTAATAGAGGGTTGGGTTTAGCGGAAAGAGTTAATCTTCAATAATATGGTAAATCAAGATTTAAATTTTTGTTAGAAGATGTGCTCATACTTAGTGGTGTGTCTACCCAAAAAAAAAAAAAGACTCATTAAAAATAAGTTTTTGAAAATTTCCAATTATTTTTTATTTTCTACATTTGTGAATAAAAACATTATGAAGTATAAGACAAGGTAAAAGGTAAACTCTTGAATAGTTTTTAAAAATGAGCAACTGCCTGGTGGGGGTATGGACAGTGTTCAAGTGCAAGGCAATTAGGGTGGGGTGATATATTTATACTTTATTATTTATCTCCCAAACGAGGGGGTAAAGAAAAGAGAAGCCTTAAAAAAATAGGGAAAAAGAATAGGAAAAAGAAAACCTGAAAATTGCTAAATGTCAAAAATGGTGCATGAATATAGCAAATTCTTATAAAGCGTGAGATCATTAGATAAGATTTTGAAATTCAAACAAGAAGACCCAAATGCTCCCATTTGAAAAAAGGTATCGATTTTTTTTTTTTTTTGGGTGGGAAAACTGTGGAGGCGGGATGTGATCCCATGGTCGCTTGTGCATGTTAAAATTAAAGGTCACTGTTAAGACACAAGTGTTTTGTTATCGAAATAGTGCAGAATAATATAAATGTTAGCAACTTAATTTTGACTGAAGATCATTCACAACTATTGTTTATGTATGATCTACATTTCATTAGTTATTAATAATTTTCGTTTATTCACAATTTATATTTAGGTGTTGACTAAATTTCATCAGCTACTAACAACTTTCATTATCAATTAATAAGACCACTTTTTCAGGTCATTCTCAACTTTTCTATAGCTATTTACTGCGTTTAATTAGCTATGAACAACATGTTGTCATATTTATGGCCCTTTCGGATATATTATGATATACTTTTGATTAGCTATTCTGGAAAGTCTGGCCGAAAAGAAAACTAATGTGGAACGAGTGTTGATAGTTGGCTAAAAGCCACTAGGTTGCATGTGAACTTTGAACCCATTTTTCTAGTTTGAGATTTGATTATTTAAATACTTGAGTACGTTAGCATGAAAGTTAATGAATGGAATGTTATTCAGAAAATAGTGCAAGGATGTGATTAAATGATCATTGTTGAGATGTGTTATCGTGGCCTTTGTATTACCCAAAGTCTAATTGTTGTTGCTGTGAAAAGTATTGATGTTAATCAGAGGTTTGTCCCTAAATAACCATGTCAGTGAGTTGTGCTTTTTTCTTAGCATGGTTTGCACGTGAATGTTTTCGTAAAACTCTATTTATGCGTTACAGTCTTTTTGATAATAAGTTCAAAAAGTGAAATTGTTTTTAGGGAAAATGACAATAAAATACCACTTGAATTCTAAAAAGACAGATAAGGGACCTGAATAAGCAAAATGACAAATAGGGCACTGGGTACCAATCTGGAATTCATATTTTCGGCCAAAAGACCAAAATGCCCTGATGAAATTGGGGAAGACCGAAAGCTGAAAGTGAGAGAAAGGAGAGAAGAAGACCGACGCAGTGAGAGAAAGGAGAGAGGAAGACCGACGCTGATGAAATGCGGGAAGAAGGAAAGAAGAATGTTGGAAATGCTATTATCTTACTCCTTCGCATCACCATTCTGTAGAGATTGTTGATTTGGTGGGTTTTGGTTGTGGGAAAGAGGATTTGTAGTGAGAGAGGGAGTGAACCGAAGCGGAAAGATGAAGCGGAAATCAGAAAACTGGCAAGCAATTACGTAACGTAACTGCTGTCATATGCCTGCTGGTTTTTGGTAAATCCCATTACGTGAATGGTAAATTTCACTATACATGTAGTTATTTATGAATTTTACAAAATACATATTGTGATTTACAACTTTTGTAGTGAAAGTGACTACTTTGTTAATGGGTTTTACAACCTGTTTTCAGGAGATAAACAACTTGTTTAAAAACTAATAAAAGTGACAACTTTTGTAGTCACGTTGAATTAACTGGTTGCAAAAGCCATTTAAGAAGTGGTCATTTTCACTATAAAAGTTGTAAATATCACTGTGTGTTTTGTAAAATTCAACGTCAAATTTTATTGATTTTTAGAAACAAGTTGCTCATCCCCTGAAAAGAGGTTGCAAAACTCATTTAAGAAGTGGTAATTTTCACTAAAAAAGTTGTAAATATCACTCTGTGTTTTGTAAAATTCAGCATGGAATTTTATTGGTTTTTGAAACAAGTTGTCAATCCCTTGAAAAGAGGTTGCAAAACTCATTTAAGAAGTGGCCATTTTCACTATAAAAGTTGTAAATATCACTGTGTGTTTTGTAAAATTCAGCGTCAAATTTTATTGATTTTTAGAAATAAGCTGCTCATCCCCTGAAAAGAGGTTGCAAAACTCATTTAAGAAGTGGTAATTTTCACTAAAAAGTTGTAAATATCACTGTGTGTTTTGTAAAATTCAGCATGGAATTTTATTGGTTTTTGAAACAAGTTGCCAATCCCTTGAAAAGAGGTTGCAAAACTCATTTAAGAAGTGGTAATTTTCATTACAAAAGTTGTAAATATCACTCTATGTTTTGTAAAATTCATCATGGAATTTTATTGGTTTTTAGAAACAAGTTGCCAATTCCTTAAAAAGAGGTTGCAAAACTCATTTAAGAAGTGGTAATTTTCACTACGAAAGTTATAAATCTCACTATGTGTTTTGTCAAATTTAGTAGGAAATTTTATTAGTTTTTAGAAACAAGCTGCCCATCTCCTGAAAACAAGTTACAAAACCCATTGAATAAGTGGTCATTTTTACTATGGAAGTTGTAAATCCCACTATACGTTTTGTCAAATTTAGCGTGAAATTTTATTGGTTTTTACAAACAAGTTGTTTATCTCCTGAAAACAGGTTGCAAAACCCATTAACAAAGTAGTCACTTTCACTACAAAAGTTGTAAATCACAATATGTATTTTGTAAAATTCATAAATAACTACATGTATAGTGAAATTTACCATTCACGTAATGAGATTTACCAAAAACCAGCAGGCATATGACAGCAGTTACGTTACGTAATTGCTTGCCATTGTTTTCTGATTTCCGCTTCGTCTTTCCCACAGGTTCACTCCCTCTCTCACTACAAATCCTCTTTCCCACAACCAAAACCTACCAAATCAATAATCTCTACAGAATGGTGATGCGAAGGATTTAGTTTCGTCAACTGGAAGGGGTTCGGTTTTGTGGAGTGGAGGGATTGGTTTCATCGAGTAGAGGGATTCGGTTTCACTGAGGGGAGGGATTAGTTTCACCGAGCAGATGGATTGGTTTCGCCAAGTGGGGGCAGTTTCTCTTTCGCCGAGTGGGGGGAATTGCTTTCGCTGGGAGGAGGCGAACACAATAAGGGCAATTCAGTCTTTAGGCCAAAAATCAAAATTCCAGATTGGTACCTGATGCCTTCTTTGTCATTTTGCTTATTCAGGTCCCTTATTTGTCTTTTTGGAATTCAAGTGGTATTTTAGTGTCATTTTCCCTTGTTTTTATAACTATGGTAGCATTTTAAATGTCTAGTTAAACTCTTTTTCTATTATGTTTAGGTTTTATAATGTTGGATAAAATCCTTTTCTATTATGACAGGCTTTTAATCAACTTTTTTTTTTTTTTTAACCACAGTAGTCAACTAAAGTATTGCAGGGAGCTTATTGCAAACCCACGAGATAAATTGCACTTTACCCGTATAATAATAATTTATAATAAATTAATAATAACTAAATTTAAATAGCTATGCACCTTTGCCTAACTTCTGGCAGTGATATATGAGAAACTCAAATAATGCTTTGATTACATATAGGTGAAAAGCATGTCGTTTACTCTTCAAAAATTACTAAGCTAAATGTAGAAAGGGAATTTAACCCAGGTCTGATCTCAAAGAGCCTAAATGGAGTAAGATTTCCTAAAGAATCCTATGGCGATAATCTAATCAAATTAACGAAACTGAAGTGTCTGATTTAAAGTGTCTAATTACATCCTTGATCTAAATGTTTATGAATTTTTGGTATTTTAACAATGAACAAGAAGTAGGATTGAAGAAGAGGAGAAAATCAACAATTTTAACGAGGTATCCACCTGGAATCACTTCTGCCTTCCCAGCTCGCCATTGGATAAGAAAAATCTAGAATCGAATTCAAAGAAATACCCAACAACTCGCTGGATTTCTCACTGCAATCCTATGACTATAGCAAATCACAGAGAGTTAAATGATGCAGTTCAGGATAGTTAACAAGACGAATAATTCTCCTGCCCATAGCCACAACCATGAAATATTATGAAACCTAATCTATAATTGAAGAAATGAATCAGTTCGATTGAATCAACAAATTGATATGAATTTGAAAGAGGAGAAGCAAGCTAACTCGGTCTTACAAATAATCATCGAATTAACAAATCCTAGTTACTCTCTATTCCAGTTTGATATAAGCAGTATAGGTCCTGGAGTTATATAAACTCTAGACTAAATCAGAGAGTGGAGCGATCTTCATTACAATCAGAACAAGAGCTCGGGCTTAGCATCTGCCAGGCAGATCCACTCAGGCTTAGCCACCAATATTCAGGTCAAGCTTTGCAAAGGACGAGGAGTAAGACGGAGGATCCATGAAGCAGCGATGAACGCTTAACGATAGAAGAGAAGAGGGACGAAGCTGATGATCCCTGAAGCGAATGAATTTTCTAGCAAGAAGAACAGCGAACTTCCCCCCATTTTGCGGAAAGAACGAAGAAGATAAATTGATTCGCCTCTGCCAACTCATAAAACCCAATCAATCACCCTCTTGCCCAGCG